GTGTTCCTTCAGGGTTTGTAGAACAATCCTCAAGTACTCATCATGGTATGCTTCAGTTTGAGAATGCACCAGTATGTCGTCAATTAACACAACCACAAACTAGTCTAAATAGGGTCGAAACACCCGATTCATCAAATTCATAAAAGCAGTAGGGGCATTAGTTAACTGGAATGGTATCACTAAAAACTCGTAATGCCCATATTGAGTATGAAAAGTAGTATTTGGGACATCAGAATCTTTCACCTTGAGTTGGTAATAACCAGACTTCAAGTCTATCTTCAAAAAGATAGAAGTCCCTCGAAACTGGTCAAACAGATCATCGATCCTAGGTAGAGGATATTTGTTTTAAACTGTGAGCTTGTTCAGTTTCCTATAATTAATACAGAGTCTCAATGTACCATCTTTCTTCTTAAAAAAGAGAATTGAGGCTCCCTACAGTGAAACAATGGGTCGAATGAATTCCCTATCCAGCAACTTCTAAAGTTGGACTTTTAGTTCCTTAAGCTTATTTAGGGTCATACTGTAATGAGACATCGAAATCGGGGTAGAACCATAATAGACTTCAATCTCAAACTCAACTTCTATATCCTACGGCAATCCAGGCAACTCTTCAAGGAAGACATTGGGAAATTCTTTAAAGGTCTGGATGCCTTCAATGTTAGATCAAGAACTCCTAGTATCCAGAATATAAGCAAGAAACACCTCAAAACCCTTTTTGATCATCCTCTCAGCTACCATAGTAGACACAACATTCGTCAGGAATCCACGACGTTCCCAATCATCACAATCTTTCGGTTATCTAGAGTCTTAAGAACAACTCTCTTAGTCTCACAATCGAGATTAACTCGATGTTTGTTCAACCAATCCATGCTAAGAATCAAGTCAAACTCTTCCAAAGGTAACTCCATTAGGTCAGCTAGAAAGATCTCCCCACGGATCTCTATAGGACACCTTCTAAAAATACGATCTAACTCTATATGGGACTCTTAACTATCATCGAACTCTTAGTATTTTCAATCGCAATATTAAGGCCCCCAGAAATAGAATGCGATACATGGGAATGTGTAGAACAATTATCAAACAAGGCAAAGTAATGAATTGGATGAATAGTAACAGTACCTGCAATTATCTTAGGCTCATCGTGGTCCTATCGATGTTTAGCAGCGTAAACCAACCCATGATGTCTAGCCTCAGATCTGACTGGACCACTACTTTGATATGCTCAGCCTCTACTAGTTAATCTCGATGCTCTCTCTTGACTACGACTCCTGTTGGAGTTTGAACTGTACTCTAACTACGAGATGGTGTCAAAACTGTAGAAACTGACTCTGGATAATCCCTCAAGAGATGATTACTAGAACAACATCTAAAACAGGTACCCAACTTCTTCCTGCATTCACCAAAATAAGGTCTCCCACAGTGCTCACATGACGGAAAAGGTTGCAACCCAGAAGAACCACCCTGACTAAAAGGTGTCATAGCTAATGAACCTGATGCCACATGCCTGACACTCAGACCGCCTCTCTAAAAATACTCACACATGCCTCTCTTATTAGGGCATGAAGAAGAGTCAACAGAACCAGAAGGCCTCCTAAATATATCTCGGTCTCTATCTCTCATGCACTCCATACCCACTCGCTTTATCTCCTCGGCGGTCTTGGCTATCTCAACCAAGGCATCAAAGTTTCTCTCCCTGTGGGTAAACTCAACTCCTGATCTCATACCTGATTCCATTCTCGAATCTCAAGCACTGATCAACTCAGTGTCAACAAGTCCATTAGCATAGAGGCTCAATCTAATAAACTCAATCTCATAATCCATAACAAGCATATCACCTTGCTCTAAATTTTGAAACTCCTAGTTTCACTCCTGCTGGTATCTTTCTCCGATGTAGCGACTAATAAAATGTACCTTGAAAAGATCCCAAATCAATTGATTTCCTGAAATACTACCGGAAATCGATTGCCACCATCTAAAACTCTTTTTCTTCAGCATAACTGGGGCCCCCTTTTACTTCTGCTCAGTCCTCATATCTATCTCATCCATAATCCTCTTTGTATTATCCTACATTGACTCAGCGTCATTCGGATGTCCACTAGTAATGCCTTCAAATAGAACTACTCCAGCAGCTACCAAAGACTTTAAAATCTCGACCCCAAACATATTACCAAAGACTCTAACAACTCTTTGGAACATACAAAAGACAACCCTATTAATGGAATCCTTTTCCATATCAATTTCCTCAACCTCAGTGATGGCAGTGTCTCTCGTAGATATAATCGGATCATTTATGGAAATAGGCAAATCTACATACGGAACAAGAGGATCTCGAGGTGACATCGAATCATCTATCATAACGGAATATCGAGTCATTTTCCCTCGACCACGTCCTGGCCTACGACCTATAGCATAACTTATCGGATAAATCTATAAAGCTCTATAGAAAGAATTTGAACATAAGTTAGACAAGCATAAGGAATCTCAAATATATTTAAAACTCATAAAACAAGGTGACAGTTTTTAGAAATATCGAAAATATCTTGAAAATCCATATTTTAGGAATCATCAATAGTCTGAGTGTTTAAAACTGAAGGATCTAATACCACCAAGTGTAACCCCCTAGACCCGACCTGGACGTTATGACCAAATCTAGGCGGTTACATATCGTAGTCAAAAATTCTTTTCATATTTAACACAACGTTAAAATATATATAACAGTATAATATGAAATTAGTCATAAGAAATATTCATACAATAAACATATATATGTATACATATATCAGAAAACATGTAAAACATATACAAAATAAATACTGGTAATACAGATATATCAAGACAGTAGCGAAAGCATGTGTCGCCAAAGTATAACAAAAAGGCGTATAGAGATATATAGTGGTACAAAATAGTAGTTGGTCCTCTTGATGCCAAGTCTGCTAGCCTACGGTTTGCTACTATCTAAAAAGGTTAAAATTTATAGAATGAGCTAAAAAGCACAGTGTTCTCCTTACGATGTATAAAAACATATAGATAAAATACTTCAGTAAAAATCAATTTATCAAACATGTTTTAAAAATATGAACACTACCCCCATCCGATCACCAAAATGTGTAGGTTCCCAGAACCATACACCCACATGTACACCAGGTAATGGCCTCCTTATACATATCGCATAAGGACCTACGGTAAAGACTTACCCTGTGCACAAAGTAGAGGAGCCTGTGGTAAGGTCTTACAAGTCATAGACTAGGCCTGATATACTTTCTCCAATAATACACCCCAATGATAGTAATAAACATATATATATTCGAGGGAAAACAGTAGTTTAATCCATATGAAAATATTTCATACTCAAAATCAGATACATGAATATAGTAACCAGATATCATATCCAAAATATACAGTAAATTAGATATCAGATAAACAGTATTAGAAAATTAGGTATCGTGTCATAAAAATATTTAGTATCATCAGAAGTCTAAAACAGTTCAGATAAATAATTTAAAACAATAATGTAACACCATTAAGAAACACACATGTACTGGTTTGAGTAGTCAGATAAGGAAGCCTATTGCTGAGTTTGTCGATCACAATCAGCGGCAGCGCTAGATTCTACGAATCAAAAAATCTATATCAGAATCCTAATATGAATAATAATAACCTCTATTTAAGCAATTTAAAGAAACTTACGAGTAACTCTCGAAGAACGCGGATCGAGCGAATCTGACGGATAGGAAGTATTGGATCTAATCAACCCTCGGTCGGGAGAAACACTAGTACCTTCTTAAAAATATATATTCGTATCAATTCCATAATCAAATCTCAAATAAATAAGCAAAAATTCTAAAAATACTAAGTATTTTTGGATTAATGGGCTCGATTCGGGGTTTTAAGGTCATAATTTGGCAAAAACATAATGCAAAATCGAAATCAGAACTGCGATCAATGATCGATCAACGGTCAACAACTGACCAGTTCGATTCGGGTTGGACCAGATCGGGTCTGATTGGATAAGGTCGGGTCGGACCATGGGGGCCCGTGCGGGGCCTTTAGGAGTCGAAAAAATTTTGGAAAATTTTCTATATGTATTTTAAGCGGTTTTGAGACACTTACCAAGCTCGGTTCACAGCGGTGAACGGCGGAGAGCTCGATTTCGCAACGTCGAAAACTTGATCTTCCTTACCCCGTCACACGTCGATGAAAATGGAGACAAGATGAACACCGGAAGACTCGGGACAGGTCAAGGAACACGATGGTGCGAGAGGTGTTGAAAACGGAATAACGATGACGGCGAAACGTCGATTAAAGATTTCCTATTAAAATGGGAATGGTTGAAGAGAGAGAAGGGTTTAAACTTTCCATAAATGGAAAGTTGATTTTTGGGTTTTTAAACACACATTTAGGAAAATGGATAATTACATTATATGTCTCCCAGTTTTAGTTGTTTTTTGAATTTGGATATGAATTTAATACAATAATTCAATTTGGTCCCTGAATTTAGTTAAAATTTTAATTTAGTTCTCGAAAAAATTCTAAGAAAATTTTAGGCCATAATTTGGGGTGTGACAACAACACCCTAGATTTAAAAGATCATTTTTGTAACTTTTAATAGTTCGAGGACTATTTGTGAACTTTATCCATAATAAATTAATTAAATTATAGGGTGGGGGAAAAGACAATGACGCATCCTAATTTACGTCAGCCGTCTTTATCTATCTCTTCTTCGCTGCACCTTTAGCATATAAATGTGAATTTTAGTCAGCAACAACGCGATAGATCTCAAGATTCTTCCATCGATTGCTCCTGCTCATTTCTTTCACTTTCCACTACTGCTTCTCTCTACAACTCTTTTTCTTTCACTTTGATTGTATTATAATTTTTTTTAATGGGTTTGAATTTGTCTTCAAGACTTCAACTCAACCTTTTACCCTTTTCTCTGTACAATACTGAGAGCTTATAGTTAAGCAGATATTTGGGTGTGTGTTGTTTTAATGGAAAAAGCAATGGATTGGGAGCGAAGCACTCTTTTGAAAGAGCAAACACAAGGGAGAGAACTCACTAATCTGCTTAGGAACCATCTCCATCCATCTTCACCACCCAAAACTCGCCAAGTTTTACTTGACAAAATACTCTTTTCCTATGACAAAGCTCTTTCAATGCTCAAATGTAACAGCCCTGGAAGCGACGCCTCTGATAGAAAAGATTCGTTCAAAAAGAGGTAAAATAAACAACTTGTTTTGTTTTGCCTTTTTTCGCATTCTTTCCTACCAGCTTTATTCATAGTTCGGAACTTAGTTGGTTAAAGAATTGTTATTATTCTTTGAAATCTCGGATTCGAGTAACATGTATATCGGTTGTTGGTAATTGGTTCCTTTTACAGGAAAAAATGTTCGGGGTGGAGTGAACAAGTAAGGATTTGCTCGGGGACGTCATTAGAGGGGCCTCTTGATGATGGACATTGCTGGAGAAAATATGGGCAGAAAGATATTCTTGGATCCAATTTTCCAAGGTTAGAAAATGTTTTACTACAATGGTTAGCATAATAATATTATCTGCGAGAGTCAAATTATCTCAGTGATTATTTGTACGCTCGATTTCAGGGGATATCATCGATGCACTCATCGGTACACGCAAGGATGTCTAGCTGCTAAACAAGTTCAGAGATCAGACGAGGACCCAACAATCTTCGAAGTGAAGTATCGAGGAAGACATACCTGTAACCGAGCCTCTCATTTCGTTGCTACGAAGGTGCCATCGACAACAGAATCGGAAGAGAAAGGCAATCAAAAGCAGCAGAACCAACTCGAAGAGAAGCAAAAACAATCGAAGGAAATATGGTTGAGTTTCGAAACCGAGTTAAAGGTTAAAACAGAGGCCTTGGACAATAGAGGCAATATATTTCCTTCATTTTCATTCCCTATTGGATCGGAAGAAGTTGAGTATGGGTTATTTTTTTAAGTCCCTAACCGAAAACGACGTAGCATTCGTGTATCCGGCCACGTCTGAATGGAACTATTTTTCAGTATCAACCATTCCATAAGGGCAGCTTTCGTTTAGGCCAAAATGTGCAGACTTCGGAATCCGATCTGACGGGGATAATCTCTGCACCAACTTCAGTTACTAATTCGCCGATCGTAGACCTCGATATTTCATCACTTGAGAAGTTGGAATTCGATCCCACCTTCGCATTTGATAATCCCGAATTCTTCTCTCACGATAGCGCTCTAATTTTCTTTCGTGGAAATAATTTCCTTTCATTTGCTTTCAAGTATTCACTTTCACTTAATTCAGAGGATGTTTGGTTAACGGAATAGAAAATTATTTTTGGGAATAAGATTTTCAAAATGTAAGATTATCCTTGTTTAGTTTGTTTGATTGGATTATAAGATTACAATGTTTGAGTGTATGAATATAATATTATATGAGTACATAGTTTACTAAATTGTCCTTGTGGTATATTTTTTTAATAAGTTAAACTTTCAATGTTAAATTAAAACTAATTGCAAAAAAAATCATAAAATCATTTTATTACACTATTTAAATTTTATAAAAAAAATAAAATTTAACATATTATCAATATACTTAGTATATTTTTTAATCATATACTTAGTGTATTAAATGATCTTAAAATACAACCATATTTTCACAATAAAAAATGACACTATAATATATATTATTTTAAATGTGTGTACAAAAATATAGTGCTTGGGAACTTTTTTTTAAAAATTTCTTCTACCCAACATTCAAAATTTATTTATTCGAATATGTTTCAATCTTTTGGTCTCTATCAGGCTGAACGAATAATGGATTATTGAGAGCAAACATAATTCTAAACGAGTATCCTAAAATCAATCAACACAAAATACAAGGGTAACAATAAGATATTATATTTAAACTATTAATAATATAAGTATCATAAATGTAATATTAATAAAAACATATTAAATATCAAAATACAATTAAATATTTAAAAGTATGTAACACTATTTAAATATTAAATTAATTTAAAATAAAAATATCTAACAAATTTATACCATAAACAGTGTTTTGAAAACCGAACCGGACCGGCCGGTTCAACCGGAAATCGTTGCCTAGTCCGGTTCAATCTATACCAGTTGAACCGCTACTAGTGAACCGGCCAAAACCGTTGAATCGTTCAAACCGGACCAGCTGAAAATTGGAAAAAACCGCCAATTTTTTTTTAAATTAAACTAAACAACGTCGTTTGTTAAACGAGCCAAGTCAAACTCGAGTATTGCTGAGCTCGACTCGAACTTGAAAACTTTAAAAGTAAGCTCAACTCAACTCAAACTCACGAGCTAAAAATTATCAAGTTCAACTTAAACTCGAAATATAATATTGAAACTTGAACTCAAAAAGGCTTGAACTCAAAAAAAAAATTAGAAGCTCGATTGAAGCCTAAAATTCGAGCTTGATTGAAGTGAAAGAATAGTTCACCAATGCTCACCAAAAGGCTCCATGATTTTGAATGCCAAATTACCTCTATTATTTATAGAAGTTAGTTGTGATGCTCTTCTATGTTTCTTAGCCATGTGGGATTATTTTGTTCTCATATTTTTACTCTTTAGACTTTTGGGATGCTCTTCTATGTTTCTTAGCCATGTGGGATTGTTTTTAAAAAAAATTAAACCAAACAATATCATTTTGTTATGATTTTTTTAGCCCCAAATTTATTTTTAAATTATAGTTATATAATTATATTTAATATTTAATATGTTTTACCTTAAATATTATGTTGTAGTTAATTTGAATCATTTTGTTTCACTTGATTTTATGGTTTTTAACTTATATATGTTATGATTTGCTTTGAATATGACTTGTGATATAAAAAATTATTTTTTATTAAATATTTTTGATATTTTTATTTAATTTTTTAAATAATTATGACGTCGTCCGGTTCTTCCGACCGATCGGACCGGTTAGACTGGTTGAACCAGTGAATCGGTAGCATGGCCGGTTCGCTAACCGGTCCGGTTCTGAAAACCATGACCATAAATAATTAATTATATAATAAAAAATATGATATAAATGATTCAAATAAAGACAACTCAATATATAAGGGATAATATTGTCTAATTTGGAGGGAATTGACAAATAGCTAAGCAAATGAAGGGAATCACATTCCTACCATTTTGACCGAAAATGTTACTATTAGTAATAATTTTTTCCATCTAGATGAAAATCACTTCAAACCAAATATGAAAAATAAGATTTCGAAAAAGATCATTACTCTTGATAATCTTTCTTGTGAACCAAACACCTTAAAAGGCGTGAGAGTGTTTATGTAGCCAAGAAACAGAAAGATAGCTCTAATCTTCGTGTAAAATATTACAAATTTTGAGTTTAACGTAACTTAAAAATATTTAGTTTGACAGTTGAAGCATGCAAATCCGATATAAGCATAAATTTCATCGAGCAAATCACTTGCAGTGCCAATTATTCCTGCAGAAGATCACCATTCCTCCTAGCGCACTTGATAGAATCCTCCATTATCATCTTTAAATGACATTTATATTCAAAACCCTTTTCGATAAGCTTGGTAGAACCCCACTTGACATCACTTTTGGATCCATCCAAGTTCCTGAAATCCATTTTAATCGTGTTTAAACATACATGGAGTCGTGTTGAAGAAGGAGAAGCCATAAACAATTCAGCTACTTACTCTTCTTTAACATTAAACTCAGGGTAATGCAATCGATAGCAATCAGCAAGCTCTGCTGCCGAAACAAACGAGCTTGCTGTCAAGAATCTACCGCCGATGGAAGGATTTAGCATGCAGAAAACCAGAGCATGGCAGACATCGTTAATGTGTACAATCGGAAGTTTCCCCAGTAGTTCTTCCGTATATTTCAGAGCCTGATACGAAAACGCATCATTTGTAAGCTGTGAAATGAAAGCAGCCACACTTCCAGGTGTATATGATAAAGCAGCATCTCCTCCAACAATGCCACAAGCTAGGGTTACCACCTCCATTCCACCATCTTTTTCACTGCTCCCGTACCTCAAAACTTCCTTCTCCGACAACGTCTTTGATGAAGTGTAATCCTTGATAAAAAGGTCAAATTGCGAATAATTTCCTTATTTTTTAGAGGCTTAATATAGAAGTGCTCAAACTATACAAAAAAAAAATAAGTGTGACCAAACTTTTTTTTTTTGGATAAATTCAGGTGGCTAAGGATTCAAACTTACCACTTCAGGTATCTCAACCGTAACGGTTGTTAAAAACTCAGATAAGTGATAAGTGTCACGTTCTAATAATTTTGAAATTTTTTATTTAAAATAAAAAATATATATTTTAAAAAAGCCAAATTTTTTTCAAAAATCTTAAAAACCTCACCTAAACTTTAAAAACTCTAAATCTAATCACTATGCCCACACCTACGACCTCCCGTCGTCGTCGTTTCTGCCGGTCGAACCTCCAACCGACCGTGTCTCCATCGACGACCAATAACCCGACAAACAATCATCATAACAACAGTCGTCGAAACTAAATCGCGACGAACCTAAATCACAACAAGTTGGATGCTCGATCGGTTGTGAAAATAAGGGGTTTTGGTTTTAGGTGGTTGGCCGATCACACGTCGTTAGGTGATCAGTCGATTTACGATGGTGGTGGTGGTGGGTTGTGGAAAAAAGATTTAAATTAGGGTTTTAAAAGTTTTGGGGGTTTTTCTATAATTTTATAAAATTTTAGGTTTTTTTTAAAGTTATAAGTTTCATTTTTTTACTTTAAATAAACTTTTCAAAATTTATAAAGGTGACACGGTAAAATTTAACAGCATACGTCTCGAACATATAAAATAATAATGTTTGTAACGTTAAGCACATTAATTAACTCAGAAAAAAATTATACACCACTATGAGGAAAGCGGTATAGTTTGAAGACACCCTTTTGAAATAAATTGATTGTCCGTAGAACTTGCCTTAAAGAAGTCATTCGAGTAAGCAAGTGAAAGATTAAGTGGTCTCCAACAAGTTTCATCCATGAAGTCCTTGTAACCAAACCCATCGTTTTTTAATGGCGACGCCGCACATACAGAGGCAGTGTAGATCAACCGTTTGACAGTACCTGATTTTAAACAACACTCTGCGATACTTTTTATTGCAGAAACTGCAGCCTCAGTTGTGTTCTTAAACTGTTCATAATTCGTCAAAATCAACGAAAGGAAGAAGAAGAAAGAGATGGAAAATAATACCAATAGAGCAGAGAGAGAGAAACCTGAGAAGCATCAGAGTTTTGCATGGGGGTTGCAACATGGAAAACGAAGGTACAGCCATGGATGGCTGGCTCAAACTCATTTGGTTTGTTTATATCAGCTTCAAACAAAGCTAATTTTGTGTCTGCTTGAGGAAAGCTCTTAAGGAGCTCAACCTTGGAAAGATCACCTGTCATGAAAATCCATTAGGAAGACGATGATGGAAATCGGAGAGAGGTGATGAACATACCCAGATTTCTGAGCGTGGCATGGACGGTATGCCCTTTCTCCAGTAGCTTCTTGGTCAGTGAAGAGCCGATGAATCCAGCGGCTCCTGTAACACATACCTTGCACTTGACCTTCTCCATTGCTGCTAAATCATCTCATATATAATATATATAGTAAGAATCAAATGACAGGATACGCATGCAAACGTTAGGAGGAAAAATCAAACATATCCGGGACAAAAACGAACGAACAAAATCCTACCGGCTGCTATTATTTGACCGAGGTTAGGAAATATGGTTTGTTTAATTAGGACGAGTTTTACATTGTTTTTAAAAAGTTACGTGTTGTAAAAAATTGACTCGATAACTTCGTTAGTAATTCATTATTTTTTTTAATATTTTTAAGTGTTTTCTTAAAAAATTAGTATATTAAAAAAATTTAAATAATAATTACTAATTTACTAATAGATAATAAGAAAGATACTAAATTACTAATTAATAATTATTATTAATTTTCTAATCTATTAATCTTCTAGTAAACAATAAAAAAATTAAATTATCAACTAATAATTATTAATTTACTACACTAAAAACTCAAACCCTAATTACTCTACTAAAAAAATTGTGTTAACTTAACGAGTGCTTTAGCAAAAAGTTTTTAATGAGCACGAATCGAGTGAAGCAACAAAATTTTTTAATGAGCATAAGTCGAGTATTACCCAATTTGTGATCGACTCACCCAATACGCACATAAGTACTCTATCATGGATTATGAATAAATCGAGACAGGGGTGTTATAATATATATAAGTGAATAAAACTCTAATAGTGTATGCATAAATGCAACTCTTATATCAATAAATTTTTTATTTTTTAAAAAAGGAATCATATCAATAAATTTAAAGTGTATAAATACATACTAATTAAAATTAAGATTAGCTTTATAAATAATATCAACTAGTTTAGTAATTTTAATCGAATTGCTTCTAAAGAAAATCATTGAGGGGAATTAGTATCAATGAATTAGAAGTTTCTAAAATCAAGAATTGAGCACTAGAGTCAGCGTTATTTGAAAAGAAAGTATTGATTCGTATTATAATAGCAATGGCACCGAAAAAAGTTGAAAGATTAGCTGATGAGGTAGTACAATGTTATGATTTTCTTTTTGTTTAATTTAGACATGATTTCAGAAAGTCCTTAACATTTAATAATTTTTCAATTAAACTCTTCAAGTTTTTCTTTGACAATTCAAATCATAATATTTCATTTTTTTTTCAAATATGTCATATTTGGACGGTTAACTGACCAAAAGAATAATGGCTAATAATTTTTAACGTGGCATAACCATATTAAGGACAAAATTGAAAAGAAGCAAACATTGAGATATTTTTCTTTTTGCTAGAAAAGAATTTTTTATTAAATTTCATTTTCAAACATCTCATGAGAGACAATAGTCGTTACTTTAGGGGGAGTTATATCAAATAATGTTTCTCCTATGGGTTGGTTATCCATGAAGTAGTTTTATCAATGCATCTGTCACTTGATTTTGTTTACGCGAGATAAGTTGTATTTGTATCTCTCAAACATCGCCAATCATCCTCTTAATTGTATTTACTATTGCGTGATCTCGTAAAGCTTTTGATTTTTCCTTGTGTCACCCTAACTGCTTCAACATTATCCATTTCGATAATGATTTTCCTAAAGTCGAAATGATGCATAAGTGCTCCATGTAATGCCCAAAGTTCTGACAAGAGGATTGAACATTTGTTGATGCTTTTTGAGAAGCCAAACAACCAGTGTCCATTATCCCAATTTTACCACCAATTATTGCATCGTTATTAGTACCTGTTATGAAGACTTTTTTTCGAGGGTATATGGAGTGATTTTTAGAAGTTATAAATAGAATTGGAATTTTTAGAAAAAAATTCGGAAATGTTTAGAATCGCCATCGACCTTTGGGATTAGGTAGGTCGAAAATTAATGATATGCCTTTTTAAGAATATATCTTAAAAGGACACAATTTGGTCTGCGATTTTAGAGATTGTGGGTTCGGGATTCGATTACGCTTGGAGAATGATTAGCACCCCACAGTGCCCAAAATTATTACCTTCAATTACGAATTTGTCCCTATACTGAAAATCTAAGAGTTCAAATATTTATTTAATTTGTGATCATTTTATTCCCTAAATAAAATATTTAACCTAATTAAAGAATTTTAGGAGAGTCGCACAATATTTGTCTATTTCCAATTAAAGAAGAAACTAACCCTTAATCAGAATTAAGACAATTATTTCTTATTTTTTAATTGAAACAATGAAATATTGTCAATCCCTAAAAATTTAGAAAATTAGTGAATTATTTAAACCTAAAATGACAAATTAAAGGGTGACAGGTTAGTTAATTTATTATTTATTATGAAAAAAGAATAAGGATGTTCTTTGATTTAAAGAACCAAGGCCAAGTCTTTGATGTTAATCAAACAGCGTGTCCTTAGCAATTTAAACGTAGGAACAAACCTTTACCCTTTATTTTTTATTAATATGATCTGGTTTCAATTTTTTGGGGTGACCACAGATAGAATGTTCATTTTTAAAAAAATATTGAAAAATAGATGTTTAGTTACTTCAAGGGCATCCTTTTCAATATCTAAAAATAAACAGTCATTCTATTCTAATCAAATTATGAATTTAATTATCGGTTTCTAATTAATGAATTATTAAAGAAAATAAACCTAAAAGGACATTTCTAAACCAAATCAAATTCTAATTAAAGAACCTAAAACTAAGGCTCTAATTAGTAATTAGTGATTAAGATTAAAGAACTTAAAATCTAATGTTTTAACTAAAAGTCTAATGTTTAATTTTAATATTAAATTGAGAGATTAAAAATCTAAAGGCTTTAATCTATGTTTAAACACATGATTATTTTAAAAGAATTTAAAACTAGCATTCATATTTAATAATAAAACACATTTAATAAAATAAAAGAAACAATTGAAATGAAATTCGTGACTAAATTGCACTCAATTCAAAATTCGGTGAAAGATTTACAAACATTTAGTAACCTAAATAAAAGAAAGAAAAATACAGAGAACAAAGACAAAAACACTAAAAGTATGGGCATTTAATGAAACAATTTTCCCAAAAGTTTACAACCTATAAAAATTAAAATTTTAAGACAAGCCTCATTTTTAATCTCTTCAAAATTTTCTCCTCTCCAAATCCTCTCTAGCCGAAATTTACCCTTCTCGCAATGTTCATCATATGTTATCTTTATTCATCCTTAAACTCATCCCAAAGGCCCGTTTTGATTTAACAAAAACACCAAAATTCTTTCCAAAACTGTTTTTTAAGATCAAAAACCAAATTCCATTCTTGTTCTTTTATAACTAAAAAAATTACCAACTTTCTTTTTTCTCTTCAAGTAAAAAAAAAACCAAGAATCTTTTCCAAAAGAAAACCTAAAAGGCTCTTGAATCTAATCTACAATAAATCACGGTTTCAAGAGAAACCACCCATCTTCAACCACCTAAACTACCCGAAAAACAAAACCGAACGCGACTGCCGCCCACCAAAAGCACTGCCAGCTAACGTAACCTCCCCCGTCGATGACCCCTTAAACTCTTGGCCAAGCCCTTTTTTTAACCTGAAACAAAACCACAACAAAAGAAAAAATAAAAAGGAGGAGCTCACCCTAAAAATAGACTCTGAACGACGCTGGTGAACGGTGGTGGACGACGACAAAGGTAAAAGAGTCTCTCCTCCGATTTTACTTATTGATCTTCTTCACTTTAATAAATCTGACTTTTTGTGTTAATGATTGGTTGTGGTTAATGATTCTTGGCGGTGATGAACACCCTTTTATATTGATGATTTTGGCTCTAGATTAATCATTCCTGCTCAAAATCCGTTAGGAAAATGGTTGCATCTAACAAGTTTGGATTGAGATAATATACTAGAACTTCCACTTTTTTATTTCTAATTTTTCTCTTTTTTGTGATTTTTTCCATACTTGAAAGTGACTGGTGAGGTGGAGGAGAGGCGACAGCAACGACGGTGGCGAGACAAGGAAGATGAAGAGTACACGTGCAGGTGACGCGTCGATGAGCTCTCCGATACTGGTGATGCGCCTGTGGAGGGGAACCAATAGTCACCTTTTGATGGAGTCTTCTTGGCCATTGGATTTCACCTTGATCTAATGGTTGAAAAGCATTTGTGTTTGTTAGCATAGATCGATGACGTGGTAAGCTCCAAGCCCTTGGATCCAATTTTTTATCAAGGGTCCATATTAGTTCGTGTTGTTTGAAAAGGATCCATAAAATAAGAACCCTTTGATGAAGGCTTATCGATGAGATTTGTTTGTGCTTTTGTCACTTGGATTGATGACGTGGTCTCCTCAAAAGTAGAACCCTAATTAATACATTGTCTCCTTTTTGAAATTCAAAGCAAATACACTTCCTTCATGCATAAAAATCAACGACAACTTTAAGATTTTAGGATTTTTGTATTTTTAGGATAAAGTATAGTAATGGTTACTGAATTTTTTAAAGTTTTTATTTAGGTTTTTTAACTTTTAAAACTTACAATACAGTCCCTCAACATTTAGTCTGTTTGTAATATAGTCCTCGACATAATCGGTCGTTTGACGCCATTACACTGTCGTTAGTACGTTTGCAATATGATCATAGAATTTTTCAGGCATTTTTATTTAGGTCCTCCAACTTTTAAAACTTACAACACAGTCCTCAATTTCGTTCTAAACTTCAAATTTCTTTTCAATCTCGAATTTTTTTTTTTGTTTCTCTCTTCTCATTTTCAGCGTAACGTTTCAGTTGGTGATGTATGGGAAATTCTAATCTAACTTTGAATTATGTGGAGGTGTTGACTTGAATAAGGGTTTATTGAGAGAAGACTCGACCAAGGGATTATCAGGACTATCAACGATTCAAGGTGTAATGTTAGATACAGGTCATCTCAGGTGAAGCATAGATGTTCGATGAAATGCTTGTGAGAAAAAAATGGGATTAGAAATGCAGAGTTGACAAATACTACTAAGATGAACTAAGTATTATTGTTGAAAGTCACCAACAAAGCTGTAATTATTTTGTTTAAATGACATATAATAATTTCTTCGTTTAATCCTTGTGGTTAAAGATTTTTCAACAGATGATCAAATATAATGAAATCCCAAATAGCACATTCACCTCTCTGTCTCTTTTGTAACTCGAAAGGCATCATGACAAGGTCAAGTAGTTGCTCCAAATATACTACCATGTCATGATGTCTTTCGAGTTGCGTGCATGCAGAATTGTTTTCTAAAGTTATAATTCAATACAATTCAACTGTAAAATTTTCAAAACATGTAAAAATCTAATTCGTTTACGATATATCAGTCCCATAATCAACATGAACTTATTTGTAAATAAAAAGCTAAAAGACAAAGCACTGTTTGGGTTTATAATTTTACATGACAGAAAATTGAAGAACAAAAACCAAACGAGAGTGCATTTGATCGAAAGAGACTGAGAGGTGAATGCGCTATTTGTGATTTCATTATATTTGATCATATGTTGAAAAATCTTTAACCATAAGGATTAAACGAAGAAATTATTATATGTCATTTATACAAAAATAATTCCATCTTTGTTGCTGACTTTCAACAATGATACTTAGTTCATCTTAGTAGTATTTGTCAACTCTGCATTTCTAACCATATTTTTTTCTCACAAGCATTTCATCAAACATCTATGCTTTACCTGAGATAACTTGTATCTAACATTACACCTTGAATCGTTGATAGTCTCGATAGTCCCTTGGTCGGGTCTTCTCTCAATAAACCCTTATTCAAGTCAACACCTCCACATAATTCAAAGTTAGATTAGAATTTTCCATGCATCCCCGACTGAAAAGTTACGCTGGAAATGAGAAGAGAGAAGCGAAAAAGGAAATTCGACATCGAAAAGGAATTTGGGTTTAGAACGAAATTTGAGGATTATGTTGCAAGTTTTAAAAGTTGGGGGACCTAAATGCAAATGCCTGAAAAGTTCTATGACCATATTGCAAACGTACTAACGGCAGTGTAACGGTGTCAAACGACCGATTACGTCGGGGACCATATTGTAAACGAACTAAATGTTAGGGGATTATATTGTAAGTTTTAAAAGTTGGGGGACCTAAATGAAAGCTTTAGAAAAATTCAGTGACCATTATTATACTTTAGCCTATTAATAATATACTATTCTTTTAATAAAATATAATAAATTATTAATATAATTTATAAAATTTATTATTTTCATAAAAAAATGTTTAATATGTTTATTAATATTCTTGTTTTAATAAGAACCGTTGCTAATATTTATTAAAAATTATGTTAGTAGTATTCTTATCCAAATACGCATAAATGTTAGTAATATTTATTAGAAAAAAGTATATGTAACATAAATGTTTAAATGAAAAGAAATATTTGGATCAAATACACATATCAAGTCTTCAAATCCCAAACGAGTTTTTTTTTTCTTTTCTTCTCTTTTCTTTGTGTAATCGTTGAATTGTTGTTAAATTTAAAAGATTAATTATTTTTATTAATCTGAGATGAATATAAAGTAATATGTGTTTAAAGATTTTCAGTCATTTGATATTAAACGAATATACTTATGGTATACATGATGATTGAATTCAAAAACTCAAAAAAATTATAATTATTTAATTACTGAGATTACGTTGTTCATTACATCAATTTGAAAACAATAAACAACATAAACAAACTTATATGGGTCTGTATTAAATAATTGTATTCGATTTATTTATTTACTAATTTGAATTGATACTATAAAAACGAGAACAATTTTTTTAACTTAATTTACTCTATTCATGAATATTAAGTTTCAAACATCTAATATTATTTAAAAAAAATTAATATTTTATCTCACTAAACTAACTATTAAATAATTAACTGAGCTATAATTATAGGGTAAGGGAAAGGACAATGACGCCACATTATTTACGTCAGCTGTCTTTATATAACTCTTCTTCGCCTCACCTTTAACATATAAATGTGAATTTTAGTAAGCAGCAACGCGGAAAGATCTCAAGATTCTTCCTTCGATTGCTCCTACTCATTTCTTTCATTTTCGATTGCTATTAAGTTTATAATTTTTTTTAGGGTAAAGTATACAAATGATTCTCATGCTATTTTATTAAGCTTAACTATTAAAATTTATAAAATTATTTTATATTATAAGAAGTTATTTTATTAAGTCTCTTAACTATTAAAAGTTATAAAATGGACACCCAACTATTTTTTATGTTCTAAATTCATTTATTTATGTTAAAAATTTGATGACAGTATGAGCTGGACGTTAACATACTGACTTAGATATGATAAAAGCTGATCTCATAATCTTAAACGACCACTATCGAAGTCATCATATATTGAGGGGTGTAAATTGACACCCTTTTAGAAAAGTTGACACCCTTTGAAAAAAATATTAATCCCATATTTTAAAAAATATTTAACAATAAAAAAATTAAAATTTAATTTTCCCACTTAAATTTTTTCCATATAATTTCTAAATTTGATATCTAATATTTTTCTAGCTTCGCCCCTATAAACGACTATTATACCTCAGTCAACATGCTAACGTTCAATTCAAACAATTGTTAATTTTTAACAGAAAATGATGAGTTTAAAATATAATGAATAGTCGGGTGACCATTTTGTTACTTTTAATACTCGAGAGACTCAACCAAGCTATTCCCTACAATCTATGGACCATTTTATAACTTTTAATAATCAATGAACTTAACAAAGTAATATCTATAGTCAAAGGACCATTTGTGTACTTTACCCATTTTTTATTGGGTTTGAATTGGCCTTCAACTCAACCTTTGGGTCTTTTTTTTTAGTTCAAAGCTACACTATTTGTTTCCCCCTAACATGGTCTAGTTTTCTCCATTCGTGTTGTTTTAAGTTCAGAAACCTTGGGCAAAATTTGTCACTGTTGAGAGCTTACAATTAAGAAGATATTTGTGTAGGTGTGTTTTTCTAATGGAAAAAGCAATGGATTGGGAGCAAAACACTCTTTTGAAAGAGCTAACACAAGGGAGAGAACTCACTAATCTGCTTAGCAAGCATCTCCATCCATCTTCACCACCCAAAACACGCCAAGTTTTACTTGACAAAGTACTTTTTTCCTATGACAAAGCTCTTTCAATGCTCAATTGCAGTGGGTTTGTGCTTGAAACGAAACCCAGGATTAACAAATTTAAAAAGAGAGAAAATAAACAACTTGTTTTGCCTTCTTCCTTATTATTTCCTACCAGCTTTATTCAATAGTTTCAAACTTCGTTGGTTAAAGAATATATTATTTTTTGAAGATCCGGATTCAAGTAACATGTATATTGATTCCTTTTACAGGAAAACATGTTCGGGGTGGAATGAGCGAGTAAGGATTTGCTCGGGGACGTCATTAGAGGGGCCTCTTGATGATGGATATTGCTGGCGAAAATATGGGCAGAAAGATATTCTTGGATCCAATATTCCAAGGTGAGAAAATGTATTTCTACAATGGTTAGCATAAAAACATGATCTCTGGTCAATCTTGATATTGAAATACGTTGTAGGGATGGATCGAGGGGTGTTAGGTCTAGAAATTTTAAATTTTCTTATATTTTAAATATTTTCTTTGTATTTATATGAATTATTTAATTTTTGCACATGAAATTTTAAATTTCCTTTTCGATAAGCTTGGTAGAACCCCACTTGACATCACTTTTCGGTCCATCCAAGTTCCTGAAATCCATTTTAATCGTGTTTAAACATACGGAGTCGTGTTGAAGAAGGAGAAGCCATAAACAATTCAGCTTCTTACTCTTCTTTAACATTAAACTCAGGGTAATGCAATCGATAGGAATCAGCAAGCTCTACTGCCGAAACAAATGAGCTTGCTGTCAAGAATCTACCGCCGATGGAAGGATTCAGCATGCAGAAAACCAGAGCATGGCACACATCGTTGATGCGTACAATCGGAAGTTTCCCCAGTAGTTCCTCCGTATATTTCAGAGCCTGATACGAATTGTAAGCTGTGAAATGAAAGAAGCAAAACTTCCAGGTGTATATGATACAACACCTTCTCCTCCGACAATGCCACAAGCTAGGGTTACCACCTCCATATTCCACCATCTTTTTCACTGGTCCCGTACCTCAAAACTTCCTTATCTGACAACGTTTTTGATGAAGTGTAATCCTTGAAAAAATTAAAAAGTTATATTTAATATAAAAATAAATGTCTAAATTATACGTTTTTTCTTAAAATGTGTACCAAATTTTTTGAATAAATCAAAGTGCCTAATATTACAAATGCTACCACTTTATGCATTTAA